GGGGTCCAAAGAGTTCCTAGAATAGGAGTCTGGAGCTGGAGTACGAGGCGGAGAGGCAGGCTGTGCTGGAGAAGGTGCAGAAGCGAAGCACTCGCCAGCTGCAAGACGAGGGCATCGGAATTTCAGGCTACCAGACTATGTAAAGAATAGTAAGAGCAATAACTAACAATAATAGTAATGGTAATAAGAATGAATAGTAGTAATGGTAATAGTAATAATAACAGTAGCAGTTAAAGTAACATGCCATTATATTTGTTTTAGAAGGAGAACTTCAGGCTGCTTTTCAACCATGCCGTTGTCTATTGGCATGGCATGAAGGATTGGCGCCCTACCATAACAGAATTATCTGTGAACCTCAAAGCGAAGCCCGAAGTTACACAGGCCTTGATCTTGCCACCAGAAGCATTTGCCACCCCGATGACCTGTTCCTTCCCTTTTTGATTGGGGCGAAGGCTTGTGTGGCGAGTTCGATCCAGTTTACGGCCGGGTGACTCTGTGGGCAGACGGTTGGCGCATGCCTTACCTCTCTGAGATCAAGCCCCTGGGCTACAGGGGGATTCTCCGAATCCTAGGCTCCTGCTAAAGAATGGTAATTGGAAGTACCATAATTGAGAAACTACATCTAAGTTCGTTGTAAGCAGCCCAGGGGACGGGTAGAAATGTAAAGGGAGTATCAGGGGACTGAAGGGGTACCACTTCATGACGGCGCCGGCTTCTTGTGAGCAACTCCCACAAGACGTTTGATGATAGCCACAAGAGGGGGAAGTCTCAGCCTAGGGGACCTGTACCTTGAAATGGTAGTTTCCCAAAATTAGGGAACCCTAATATAGACCCACCCCAATATACTATAGTCCTTATTATTAGGGCCCCCAAAAAGGTACCCCTAATTTTGGGAAACCCCCAAATATGAACGAGATAGTCATAAATTCCAAAGCCCCCAGCCCCAAACCTGGAGCCCAGTCTCGACGGGCTGGACTCGTGCAGACGCAGAATTCCATTACCCCTTTTCAAAAACACCCTTTGAACCAGCACATGGGTGGTTGTCAAAATTATGGTCCCTTTTTGGGGTACCCTAAATATTCGGTGCCGTATTATAGTAGGGACCCAAAAAGGGACCATAATTTTGACAACCCCCCACATGTAAACCCCTGACCTTTCCGCTCAGGTTTGGCCGCGCAGTTTTGCTCAGTACCACAAATGGTGGCGTCGACCTGGAGGACCCCAAGAAGACGATCTCCGCAGAGGTTGAAACATGTCTCAGGCTTAGGGGTTAAAGGGGCTTATAGGATTGATTGTGTTTGAGGGTTGGGGGTTGGGCGGTCGAGCTTGGGGTTAAAGGGCTAAGTTTTCCATTTTATATTCCATTATCCCAATATCACCCCAATATATACCCAAATTATAATATAGTAGTTTCCATTTCATTTTCCATTATCCCTATATAACCCCAATATATACCCCATTATACTATAGTTTAGGGTGTCAGGCCAAGGGTTAGCGCCTAAAGCTCAGAGCCTAGGGCTCAGGGCTTAGGCTTTACGAAGGAGCTAGGAATATGTGACCGTCCCCTTGCAGGCAACACATGAGGTTTCGTGAATGTTACATGAAGGTATGTCGGAATGGTATAGGATCGACGGCGGGGGATTGTACAATGTAGGGATTGCATTCGGGCATCCCAGAGGCAGAGAGGTCAGAGTTGAGCACCTCAGGAAAAAAGGGATTGCATTCGGGATGGCGTTGTGATAGTTGTAGGATCTTCTACAGGGGACATCTTGATCCTAAACCCTGAACCCTAAAACCTAAGTCCTCCACCAGATTCCCGGGAGGTTGCAGAGTTTAGGCTTTTCTACTAAGGAGAGCATCAGGGATGGGACAATTATCCTCAGCACTCCCTATGAAAGATTGCCTTCAACGGGCAGCGGGAATGATTTGTATAGAGTGGACCTGGGGCCCAACATCATCGCGAACAAGCGCATTGACCGCATGCTGGATGAGTTGCAGAGATGTCTGGGTGTAGACCAGGCGGCAAACCCCAGAGATTCAATCCAAAAGCTGAACCTGGGTTCTTGTTGAACAACATGTTACATTTTTATGTATACCTGGGCCCAATATAGACTTAAACTGATCATTTGTACGAGTACGTATTTCAACACGAACACAGGAACTACAACGCCAATCTGTGTGGTCTTCTCCTACCTGGGGCTCCACTCGCAGATGCGCTGTACGCGGACATCAGCGAGTCCTCCGCCGCCGCGGCTAAGTGGGATCCGCTGACCCGGGCCGCCCCGAACCCCAAAGCAGACATCAGCCGCGCAGCGAAGGAGATCCTAGGCTGCAATTGTGGCCATCATCTAGTTCTTAATTGTTACTGTTATCATTGCGGTTCGTATTGTTCTTATTCTGGTTACTCGTGTGATTGTTATTCATGTCCTGTTGGGATGTGGATGTGTATCAGGACCATGAAGATGAACGTAGCAGAACATATGAGGGCTTACTATGCAACCCAGGAAGGACATCGGGGCCGAGAAGTACACTGCGCACAGCGACATCCATAGTGAGAAGGACTTGAATGAGTCGCAGCAGAACGCCAGGGACATGGTCCTGGAACAGAGGCCACATAGCTGCCTTTGGGTTTAGGGCTTAGGGTTCAGGGTTATGTTGGTTTGTGAGAGAAGATGAGGAGCCCACCAGTGAAGGAAATGTCCTGGATCTATCCCACATCTCTAGACTCCAGGATAGATTGCATGTCACAGCCCGCAACCTGAACAACCACCACTCAAAAAAATGCTCCACCCTTTGCCCCAAACCCGACATCTTGACCTAAACCTCAAACGGTTTCCCCGCTTTGGTCTTGTCTGTCGTGAAGCTCTGAACCCTGAATCTGCACAGACAGGCGCAGATTCACTTTGGTCCAGGGTCCACCCGGCACAGGGAAGACCACCACTGCAGTGGCCATCATCGCAGGCTGGCTGAAGAGCAACCGAGGGCCGGTGCCATGAAACAGTTTAGGGTTTAGGGTTTAGAGGGGTTCAGGGTTTAGGCTTTGGGGTTTAGGAGTTTAAGAGTTTGGAGTTTACGGCAATGAGTGCGTAGGGTTTAGGGTGTACTCGTCCCGCATGATCTTCCCATATATACCCATTTAATTTCCTGGGGTGACCCTGAAAACTGATATAAGTAAGCTAAGAACATCTAAGAATCCTAGGAACCCATAGAAGCCATGCAATGAGCGCGGCTATTCCGACACCAGTTTACTTCTTAAGTTTCGTCGGCCCCGTGAAACCGAGAGAACGCTAATGCTACACCCTCCCTATTGGCTTACTGCATATGTATACATATATCCTTGTATATATAACGCAAGCATATGCATTTTTATGTCCGCATCGATTCTTGTAGCAGCAAGGTGCTCGCATCCGCTTTCAGCAACAAGGGCTGCGACAACGTGGCGCAACAGCTCCACGCCCTAGGAGTCAAGGCTGGGTTGCTGTTAAGGAACTTAAATTAAGTAACTATATTGGGGAAACCCTATTATTTACTATATATCCCATTATGGTAACTTAATTTAAGTTCCTTAACAGCAACCCAGAAGGTGCTGCGGATGGGGCTTTGCTCCGCCAAGGAGCCGGTCAGGGCCCAGTGGTCCAGGGATGACGGGTTTTGGTTTCAGGGATTACATATTAGGGTTACATAGGGATAATGGAAAAGAAAATGGAAACTACTATAGTATACAAGGGCTTTGGGTTCAGGGATTGGGGGCTTAGGGAGTTGCGGGTTTAGGCGTAGGAGTTTACGCTTTTCAAACGGTTTGGTGGTTTAAAGTTTACGAGTTTGAGGCTGAAACGAAGTGGATTTAGAATTCCAGGTTCAAAGTTTACCCCCACCGTGGTTTTCCAGCAAGGAGCCCTACTCACTCGAGACAAGGCTGTCGGAGCTGGGGCTGCGTCGTGGCGACAAGGGCATGAAGGCCAGGGATCATCCGTGTTGAGGCCCCCAAGAACCAACCTTCAGATGTATGTATTGTATATGTAGAGAAAATCTACATGTGTAGGTATGTGGGTTTGTACGTATACGTTCTTCTGAACTTCAAGCTTTTTTGCATGGGTCCAACCCCAATATACTGTAGTAGTATCCATTTTACTTCCATTATACCCTATACATCCCCAATATACTATAGTAGTGAGGGCCGTAATCGACGGATCCCTGAAGGCCGTTTTTGATAGTGTGGACGTGATCTGCGCTACCTGCATTGGCTGCGGGATGGGTTGCTCGGCTCAACGAGGATAATGGAAAATGCAATGGAAACTACTATAGTATAGTGTTTAGGGTTTAGGGTTTGGGGTATATATTGGGGTTATATAGGGATAATGGAAAATGAAATGGAAACTACTATAGTATATTGGGGTTGTATAAGAGATAATGGAGAAGAAAATGGAAACTACTATGGTGTAATTGCTTAGTCTAACAGGGTAGCCCGGAGTTTCTAGTTCCTGAGAGCTTCCGTAAACTGAGCTTTGCATCTATCCCGGTGGAAGTTGAAAAAGGAGCGACAATCACACATATACATGCTCACTTCTCCGCCGGTAGACAAACCCTGTCTCGGCAAGGTCCACTCGACAGCAAGACCTTCCCCTTCATCGTCATCGATGAAGCAGCCCAGGTGATCGAGCCCGCTGTGATTCTCCCCCTTGGGAAGGGTGCCGTTCAGGCAGCGATGGCTGAAGACCAAAGCCATAAATGACAGTAGCTTGTAGTTTCTTTTCCATTCTTGGGGAAAGAAGCTGGTACTAGCAGATACAATAATGGCATAGTACGCTAGGCCTTTAACACAAGGCACTCCAGGCTGTTACGTCCTAAAACCTGTTCAGGCTGTGATGGTGGGAGATCAGTGTCAGCTCCCTGCCACAGTCCTCAGCCAGGAAGCCCAATCCAAAGGCCTTGACATTTCCATGTTCGATCGACTCTTGGCATTATAATATTGGGGTTGTGAATTATATAGGGGTTATATTGGGGATAATGGAAAACAAAATGGAAACTACTATAGTATAGTGTTTAGGGTTTAGGGTTTGTGTTTTTTGTTGATTGGGTTATGTTGGGATAGTGGCAAGGAAAAAGGAAGCTACTACATTATACTAGGGTTATACAGGGGTTACTCTGGGCTCACTCAGACATCTGTTGGGTTTTCTCTCAAAAGGGGGGCCCGTCAGGGTGACATGGGGAAGAGAAAGGGGGCCCCACATGGCTTCTATGATTCAGGGTTTAGGGTTTAGGGTTTGTCATGATGATATTGAGAAACTTCACAGTCATTTCTGCATGCCTTTGCCTTACAGTTGCCTGACTTACGATTATTGGATTTGTTTGTATTGTTATTGCTCTTCTGAATATTATCACTATTATTGCCCTAAACCTCACTCTTGCTAGTTTTACTATTGAGACGTCAAGGATTGCTGTCCATGGGTATGGAGTACACGCTCCTGACGGATCAATACCGAATCTCGGTGACATTTTGGGATTATCAAAATCTTCCCTTCTTGGTTCATAGTGGGGCTATACAGGGGATTGTATTGGGGGACTTCTATAGCGGATGTTAAGGGGGATGCTAGGAGATGCTAGGAGTTTGGTTTATGGTTCATATAGAATATCTCTGGATTTTGACGTGTGCTTCCCAGGAATGCACCCCTCAATCAGTGCCTTCCCATCCTGGCGCTTCTATCGGGGGGAGCTGAAGAATGCGGTGACGGATGCGGACCGACAGCTTCCGCACGGCTTGCCCTTCCGATCCCCGCTGGTCTTCCTACACGTAGATGCAGCTTGGTTGCTGTTGTGACCCTGGATATTCATAACAGTAAGTCTTAGGGTTCCGATATACTCGCACCTGTTCAACACCGAACCTCTAAACCGGTACGCCGCCAGATGTTGCCGTGCCTGCAGCGCGATGTACGTGTTGAAATAAGAGGGTTGCCCTTGCCGCGGTGGCAGAGTCTGACCCTCCTTCATCAGCAACCCAGGCAATTGAGAGTTCCGGTGGAGCTTCAAAGAAGAACGAGCCTGAAGCAGACTGTGTGGCTTGGGTGGTGGAGCAGGCTGGGAGGACATAGCCTCGCTATGGCTCAGGAAGACCTATTGGCGCATGCATTTATTTGGTGTCCTTTGGGGATGTCACTCAGTTAAATCCTACCTCGTATGTTCAAACCTTAGGCTGCTCAACTGTTTGGCTTGGCACCAGCATGTCACCATTTGTTACCGTGCAGGTCATGCAGCATGGCATTCGGCCGGACAACATCGGTGTCATCTCTCCATACGGAGCGCAGGCTGGAGCACATATTTAATAATAGCTGTAAGAAATATGGGCTATTTGCCTTGCAGACATGGGCAACAACACCCTGGTGTACAGGTGAAACTGATACAGCGGTCGCTGCCATACGATGCCCAGCTTGCGGTGCAGGTGTCGACCGTAGATGCTTTCCAGGGCAGCGAGCGAGAGGTGGGTGAGTTTCAAAGATTTTTCTTATCCCCAACTGGGAGTTCCGAAAACAGAGGTCATTGAACGTCAAGATAGTGAGCAGCCCTATTCTTGTAGTCAAGACCGGATGTGGCTCTACAAGTATCATGTCAAAACACCATTATTCTTGGGAATGCAAGGTCATCGTTTTCAGCCTTGTGCGAGCAAACCGCCGCGGCGATGTGGGCTTCGTGGCGGACTGGCGGCGACTGAACGTGGCCCTGACGCGCGCCAAGCGTCTCTGTGTGGTCATCGGTGCAAGCCCTAATTACCTGTGTTCAATGGAAGCTGCTTGCATGTAGCGTGTCATGTCATGTCATACGCTTCGGAGCTTTGCATGCACCAGTAGACAGCTAAGCATGGGGTTGCTATTTGCAAATTTGGCATCCAAACCATGTCCAGACCGGGTCAGATGTCACCAGCTGCACCTTCACGAGAAGTTTTGGTCTTGCCTGGCTGGCCTAGCTGTCTTAGAGCTGTCCAAGTGTTTGCGCTGAAAGCGTGCCTCAGGCAATATTCCCACGTGGATGCAAACGGAGAGTGCCCTGCTACGTGACTGGTTGGGCTTCCATCAAGTTGGCAAAGCAGATGTCCGAGCCTTCAGGGGCTACAACGTCACGGCTTTGCCCGCCGACGTGGCCGCCAAAGCCAACTCATTGCGCCAAGACTTTGCTACGAAGAACCCTGCACCTTCCAAGCTGGCCCGGGCGCAAAAGGCTGAAAGGAACGTCTCTGTTGCAGGGAAGAAAGCGCGGGAGATCACGCAAGCACTTGAGGATGCCATCAAGGCACATGACGAGGTGGTGCTGAAGAGTGTCATCTCGCAAGCAAAAGAGGCAAGCCAGGGTTGTTGGAGGGGTGAAGGGTCCTGAGTCTTCAGACTTGGTCGTTTCAGATTGTGTGCCGGGCGCATGTTACGCGTTGAGCAGTTTGAAGGCTGTAATGCCTATAGTGTTGTTGTTCATGAGTCTTTCCGCTTGTTGCAGTGCCTTGTGCAGTGTGCAACGTAGAGAATCGAGGGTGCTGGATGTTGCATTGCACTGTGCTTGGCCTATTGCCTGGTGCTGCGCGGCTTCCAATTAGTGTTCACAAATTTGGCTGCTTGGTCTCGCATTATTTTGTGTACCAGTTACCTGTTTACAGGATGCTCTATCAGATGAGGAATTTGGTATTCGCAGGGTTAGGCTCAGTTTAGCATGTGGTCTCCTGCTCGTACGTTGGTTAGACCAGGCGTGCCGCGTAAGAGTGTCCTCGCATCGCTAGCATGTGGTCTGTGGCTTTTCTTGGTCTACTTTTCCAATGCATATGGCCTCAGCCTATAGGCTGTCAATCAAAATTTGAATACTTCCTTGGGAATGCCTGAAAGTCCAGCACTGGTGCACGAAAACAAAGAAATAAATGCTGGAAAGATTCCATTGAGACACTCTGACCTCAATCCACAGCGCGCCTACGTGTTGAAAACTCTTTATTTGATCCTTACACAGCCGGACACCCCTGCATGGAAAGCTGTCGAGGCCGGCATTGAGAAGAGCATCATCGATGAGGCCGAAACAGAGCTTGAGTCGCTGGGGGCCTCCAAGAAGCTTTCGGCCGCCATGCAGAGCAAAGACCCCACCGCCCTGGTGCAAGCGATTCTGGGCATGCGTTCAAGACTAGGGTGCGCAATACGGTTTTTGGTTTGGGCTATTTATGTGGTTAAGTCCGAAAGAAAAGGTTTAGGTTTTTTTCTTGTCCTTTGCCACCGATCTCCAAAGGCCCATGACATCAAATGAGCTTTAAAGGCCTGAAGAAACCCAGGATGATCGTGGCAAAGATTCATATTCAGATCGAACCCTGCATATACAGTAGCTTCCATGTCATTTTCCATGTGATTCTCGATTCTTGGGCCCCTTTTTAACCCAAACCCTACACCCTAAACCCTGAACCCTGAACCCTGACCCCTGAACCCTAAACCCTAAACCCTAAACCACCATCTATCCTGAGGTTTCAAGGCATGAGCCATGTACGGAAGTCTCCCCAATTTG